AAGCTACTTGTATTAGGAAGAACTACTTTCATAGCTACCCATCACTTCACCCAGAAAAGACATAAGTGCATGCTGAACATCTAATTTAATTTAGAACAACTGAAAATCAGCCAGTGCTCTAAAGCACGTATGCCACTTTGCTGGACTACAACAGGATGAAATCATTTCAACATTAGTATTTTTACCTTTGGGTCATCTCCAAACTGCCCAAACTGTACATCATTTAGCAAGCTACGAGCTGTTTTAATTATATCTTTACATTTTTTAGGTGTTTCTTCAACCTTTCCCGCTAGGAAGAGACAGCAGGCTCCTGTCACCTAAAAAAGGAAAGTGCTTTCAAAAAGTTGTCTACATGTGGATATGCAATATAATATAGCATTGTAAAAGCACTGCCAGTTTCCATTAACAGTTCTGCAGAAGTCTCCCAGGAAAGACTAATGCGCATACTAATTTTAATTTTAATAAAGCAGTAATTTAAACTTTTACTTTCTCAAAGGAAAGATACAGATTTTGGAGGACTGTCCATTTTATACAATTTCATTTCAAGGTCAGAAAACCAAAGCACAACTTGTCCTGGCTCAGCATTGTCTGTCAAGCAGTTTTAAGATGGTATTACACTTCTTTTTTTCCTTTCAGCCAATACAGAAGTGCCAGCACTATAGCTGTTACTGTCTTCAAAGAACAGTCTCAGCAAGACATAACTGCAATGTCAATATGCTTCTAAGTGTAAACAGAAATGTGTAAACAAGCAAGAACAGTGTATTTTAAGCTGTAATGATTAAAAGACAAAATGCTTATTTCCCATCATTCAGAAGGGTGGACAGCAGTAGTACCCAAGTGATTAATCAGAATTTCAAGTAGTCCATCCCTAGTGCAATCACTGAATTAAGTCATCAATATTCTAAATACTTACATATCTTGGAAACTGTTTGAAGGAATGAAACATATAAAACCGATGGAAATAAATTATTCCAGTTGCTAGAGTATCATAATGTCTGTGGTGCAGAATAAGGACTTTCAAACAGGACATAAAACAAATTTAAAACCAAACATACATGAAGGATTCTGCTTTATCAAGTACCTCAAGTAATTGGCTGTTCAGTGACCAGTTAGAAAACGCTGCAAGTAAAACAGGAGCTTTAGAAAAAAAAAGCCACAAAACCCCTTAAAGCTGTGTAAATACTGATTCAGCCCAGATGCAGTAGATACCTAAAGCATTTACTGGAGGTGTGCAAAGTCCCACAGAAGGACCTACAAAAGGTTATCCTCTTGTTACACTGTACCTGCTCCAGAGAAGGTCAAAACCAGCAGTAGGTACATGAAGGAACAGAACAATTATCACTTCACATTAAAGTGTTGGTGTGGAGGAAAGTACTAACTATTCAGAACTACAAATGCAAATAAAACCTTCTCTTTAAGAAGAGTAAAATTTAATCTTCACCACATTTTATTAAACAAAGAACTAAGGAGACTAAAAGAAGCATAGAAATGTGGGAAGCAGAAAATTTAAGTGGCTGTCTATGAGAGAGTGGGACAGTTGGGAGGACTCACTAACATGTACAAAGTTGCAAATCTCAAATCAACCGAACAAAAAACCAGCCACCATAAACCAAGACTGAGGAGGCAGAGGTTGGAAGCCTCAGATGCACAATCCATAGAAAAATGAGTGCAAAATTAAAAATTTGAGAAGTTACACAGATTAATATAGTAAGATATTGAGTTTCATAACTGACAAAAGTTATCCTTAATTGGCAAGTCTGTATCATCTTACTTCTCTGTTGCCAAAATGGTTCAGTTGTAACCTGAATGGATAAAAATTGTACAGGAAAACATTCAATCAAAGGGCAAGTAAACACAAAAATATTTTTTATAAATGATTAAAAAATAGCTGAACAGCTAACTGAGCACATGACACTTCTTGTACATTTTATTCTGAAAACCCACCATTCATACAAACATTTCCCACCAATATGAGTTTAAAGGATACAGCCCTAAACGTGTTCCCACATCGAATATGAATCTGGCCCCCTCCCTGCGGTATCGAGCCTCAGTAGCTGGATCAAGCCCTTCTAGCTGGGATGGAGTATGTGCCAAATCTTTCTTATCCCAGTACCAACATGGCTTTGTATGGTCCAGGTTTGCCAAGTTTACAGAAGGGCTGGAATTTTCTTTATTCTCCTTCATTTATTAAAACAGAATTGTCCTTGCTTTTTAAGTTTTCAAAAAGGGAATCTCCAGAGAGTCGCTTCAGGACCTTTAAGAAAAGACAAAAGGATTTTGTTAAAAATGGAGAGGACTTTCCCCCCCACCCCTTACTCAAAGAGGAGTGAAGAGGAGTAGCGTTTATCCTTGCCCATTGGAAAGGACTTTTTTTGTGCTCAAAGACAAGTAATATATAACCTTGCCCTTATCCTCCCCATATACTGCAAACACAATCAAAGAAATAGTCATAGGTTATCCTTGCTATTCTCTATTTAATAAAGAAACTTCAGGAATGCATAATAAACAATATCTGCTTCTTCTTAGTAGAACAATTTCCACCTACTTTGTCCATAAAAATAGGGAACACCCAATTCAGTGATGGCAGCAGCAAGATTTGAAAATTTGGGGGGGATCTACTCACTATTGGTAACCCAAAACCCATTGGTGAGGTAAGTCTGAACGTCTGTTTAGATACCTGCCTGCTCTCATGGATATCCCTGGTGCTAAGAGGAGCAACCACTGGGCAGAAAGCTTTGTAAAGTGATCTGTACTTGTGTTTACTTGAAGGAAAAAAAGTAACAAAAACAGTGTTCCTTCAGATACCAAGATCAAGACAACTGGTGTAAGTCTGCAGGGTAAGGAGGCATCTAAAATCACCCCCAAAACAAGGCAGTTGATGACACTCCAAGAGTGTGCCAGCCGCCAGTGCTCACCGGCACTTTGTGTACAAACACTCGGATCACAAAGCTCTGCAGCAGCTTTCTGGTGACTGAATTCTGACCGATGTTCAGCCACGCCTCAATTTAAAGACAGAATGAAGACTTGCTGCCGCCTTTATTTCTTTCAGGCACAAAACCACTTACTGCAATTCCACAAAATACAGATACTATGCACAAATTACTGCAGTCACCTGCAAGGGTTTGCATAACAAACAGTGATTAACACATGATGCAATATATTCGCTCTGTGCTGAACAGCCACAGGAAAAACCAAACGTAAAACTCTTAAAATCAAGCTGTTGCTTTTCCAGACGTTTCTCTTCCGAAAGCGGAAGAGAGATCACGTGAACGGCCAAAAAAACCCCGATGCCGACAATCAGCACCTCGCTCGACTTCAAAAACTTTCTCTTTTCCAGAATAAAGGAACCTGTCTTTGCCCCACGATGGTTTCGGAAGGACCTTCACAATGCGTGGTGTCGGTCACAGACAGATGAAAACTGTCACCAAAAAAAAGGAAATGGCTACTAAAAACTTTTTCCAGAACCAACAAAAGCGCGCCGTGCCACGACCGCACATTCTCATCCTATTTACTAGAAAAAGCGCTATTTTTTACTACTGCTACGGTTCTTCTTCCTTACGAGTTATTTCACTTGCTAACATCCAAACAGTTTAAAAAGCTATTAACATCGAAAGCACCCGAAGCGACAAGATCCACTTCTATAAGCAGCGAAAGCATTTCCGATCACAGAACTGGGAATGAATGAAAACCATCACCCCGCAAACATCCCAAACGAACCATCTCCAAGGTCCCAATCCAGCCCGCACCGCCCGGGAAGAACAACGAAAGCTTTTCCTTGCCTATTTACGCGCCCCATTAATCCGGAGGGGAGCTCTGGAGCTCGATCGCGGTTTTTTTTCCACCTTACCTGGGACGACCCCGCCGACCGCGAGCGCGGCCGCGTCCCCTGCAGCCCCGAGCTCTGCTCAGCCCCTCCCAGACGCGCCCGCCTGCCGCACACGGCGCTGCCGGTGCCCGCGGAGGCGCTCGCTCCCCACCACGGTCGTCCCTGCTCCCTCCCCCCGTTCCGCCGGCGGCAGGTCTCGGCCCGGGCGGGCCCCGTGCACTCACAAGGCCCACGGGGAGCGGCGGGGACGGCACCGGAGCGCGGGACCTCTCAGCGGCAGCGCGGCCTCCGCGCCCTGCGCGCCGCCATCTTGGGAGCCAGGCTAGGCTGCGCGCTGCGTCATCGCGCCGGAAGGGCGTCTCGCTCGAGGACGACACCCCCCCGCCCAATCCCGTCCCCTCCAATGGCCGCCGAGCCCGGGCGGGCGCGCAACTCGTTGACGTCACCTCGAGGTGAGTCAATCAGAGAGCCGGAAGGGTAAGATTGCCAGCTGTATTAGCCAATAGAAATGCCGAGGCGGGTTTAAATGCCGTGCCCTTTCAAAAGGCTGCCGGTGCGGTGCTCGCCGCGGATTGGTCCCCGCGGGTGCCGGGAGGGGGAGGTGCTGCCAATGGCAGCGTGAGGCGGGGCGGGGCCTGGGCCGCCCCTCCCCTCCTAGCGCGGGCGGCGCGTCCGGCGGGGCTCGGGCTGAGCCTCCTCGGGCCGCGCCGCCGCTTCGGCCCCGCGGGAGCGCCCGCCGCAGGGAGGGAGGTAAGGCCGGGCCGGCCGGACCCCCTGTCCTGCCCGAGCCCAGAGCCCTGCCTGGGCCCGCGCCCTTCCCCTCAGCCCGCCCGGCGCGACCTCACCCCGGGGGAGGCGCTGCTTTTCCCGGACACCCCCTCCCGCCGCCCCCGCCTTCCCCCGCGGGGCAGGGCTGGGGCCAGGCCGGGCCTCCTCGCCTTCCCTGTGGCCCCGCAGCGCAGTCCCGGCCCCGCTCGCCATGGCCTTCTCCTCCGCCCGGCCCGAGGGGCTGAGGGGCCCCCCGGCGCGTTCCAGCCCGGCCTCTGCGGGGTTAAAGTGAGCGAGGCGGCGGCACTGGCGCTTCCCTGGCCCCATCCCCCCGCCCCTCCCGGAGGCTGATCAGAAACCGGAGTAAAACAAATGGCTTAAAGCTGCTTTCCCCTGATGTAATTCCTTTTTTTTTTTTGATGTGTGACACGTTTTGAATGATCCCTACTCCTAGTCCAGCTTCCCGGAGAGGCTCCCGTGCTTGCAGCGCTGGGGCCTGACTCAGTGTGTGGCTCCTCTGTCTGGAGAGGAGTGCTCTGGTTCCTTTCCTTTCTCGCCCCGTCTGCAGCCTGCTTTAGTAACGGGGTTAAGCCTTTGGAGGAAAAAAGGTGGGGTTTAAAATTACAGTAAACCATCTAAACTGTTCATTCTGCAGGGGCGTTACTCCTGAAGCAGCCTCGGTGATCTAGGCTTCCCCTATTGCCACAGGAGCTGCTGAGATGGCCCATCTCATGAACCCTTCTTCCTCTTCGTTCTTACGCAGCAGCACTTGGTTAGAGTTGCTTAAGCTGAGGCTTTACCTTGCCTTTAGTTCTTAGCAACTTCCTAAATTTTGAATTTATTGTATGGTTTTTTACCATAAGGGGATGTTCAGCCATCAGGATAAGCTCAGTTCTTCCTTTTGGAAGTTGTCCCTCACAGCTTAGTTGAAGGCTGCTCTTCCCCCAAGCGTGGTGTCTGCTCTTCTGGATGGACTTGTCCATAGGACCTAAGCTTGCTCATGAGATCAAGTAGAAACCGAGTTGTCTTTGACCCTTCTAAGAGCATGTAATGTAAGCAAGCACCTGTCTCTTCAATTGACAGCTTTGTTCTGTGATAATTGCTACAAACGTTAGCTCAATGTCTCACAAGTGTTTTTTGCTCTCAGTTGTTGTGAGCTCGTAACTGACAACAGTGAAACATAAGTATTTTGTAGGTGAGTAAACAGCTGCGGCATTCTGTGTGTCCGCTATCAGGTTCCTGGTATAAAATAGTAAACCAGTGTGCAAGTTGTTAGAGGGAAAGGCGTGATGAGCATGAAGGTGGGGGTGTTTCCTGGTATGTTTGCTCAATTAAGTAATTTAATATGGTAGGGATTCATGCGTGCCAGCTTGTGCTGTAATAAAGTTTACAGTTATGTTTAGCAGGCTGGATTGAAGTATATATTGAAGCACAGTTGAAAATAAATTCTTGGCATGGTGTGCCAAGAAAGAGATTTAGGGTTTTGAAGGAAGAAATGCTACAAACCCTGGAATCATTTGTAATCTGGATGTCACTGTTCCTAGAGATGGCCTGGTCTCTAGTTGAAGTCAGATGTGCCTTGAAATAAACTTCTGATTTCGGTATGGTACATAAATTAAAAGTAAACCATATAATGCCACTCTGCATGCAAAAGTGTACATCTGGATGATATTTTTATTGTAATATAATTTATTTAGACATGCCTACTGTATCTCTGTAATACATCATAGTTGTGCTGATCATGTAGCTTATGAATTAGATGGTTTCAGTGTTCTAGTAGTTGCTCTTTGAAAAAGAAAGAGGCACTTACTTTAAGGGTACTGGAGATCTTGGGTGATCTGTATCTTTTCAGACTCTGGTAGTGCTCAGTGCTTTTTAAAGGAGACCTCACTATGCCTGTGGCTTAAGCACTGAGAGCTTTTGGAGGCCTGGGTGATTCTGTTAAGTCTGACCATGCTAGTGGCTGAAGTCAGTGTGTCTTTGCTTCCTTCTCAATGAGGAGTTATATTTTATACAGAGAGGTTAGTATTTCCTAAATTAAGAACATATTTAGGAACATGTAAATAAAAACAGTACAGGAGGGGTTTTAATTCCACTCAGAAGGAATTAAGAGAAAAAAAGTTTATGGGAGTCTTCCAGAGGAACAAAGCTCAAGCAAAGAAATGAAATTACAAAAATTGCCAAAGCGGTAGAGTTTAGCAGCTTCTTTTCTGCAAAGAGTAAATATTTTTTCTTTCCTGGTCAAATAGCTGTCTGAGGAGCTGGCTCAAGAGAGAGGCAGGGGAGTTATTAATCATTAAGAAAGAGCTTGTTTCCTGTGGAGCAGTTAGTAAACTATCTTCCCTTAGAAGATCAGTGAGGTGTTTATAGTAAGAAGCACCCTTTGTGCCTGAGAGCTTTCATGGAAGGTGAAGGGATGTAGGGACAATCCTGTAGTAAATAATATAATAGTTCAGAATTAGCAAGCTGATAAAAGTGATTTAAGAAATACATTTCTTTGAGCTGTTCTCTTGGATGTGGCCATTTTTCTTTGCCCTTCAGCATTTTGTCTTACCTTCAAATTAATAATTTCTTACAAGAAGTTTATATTTAATTCATGAGGCAGTCTTGTGTTTAGTATCTAGCTAGGTTCAAATGGGTGGGGGGGAAATAATGTCAAAATGACAGTACTTTAATTTTTTTGGCAGATTAGGAGTATCTTGAGCATCCCAAATAAGAATATTGTCAAGACATGGTTTTTTTTTAATTCTAATTATAAGAGTAGGTCTTTTGGAATTTGATTCCCAGCAATTAGCTAATTTTTTTGGAGTTGGTGCTTTTTTTAAGTGTACCAAATAAACATTTAGCTAATTTTAGTAACTTCTTTTGATATTATTCTGTAGGTTTGGCTTCATCACAGCAATATTTACCATCATTCTTTCTTTAACCTGAAACGAAAATGAGATTAGCAAAGTTTGTTCTTTGCAGGAGAGATGTATGCAGTGTATACAGCAGTGGTTCAGTCTTTCCTCTTTTCCATATGCTTTAGGCTTGTGCTCATGTTGGCAAACCTGTGGTGGTACAGCTTGTTATAGCAAACAGGATTATTAGTTTGACTCTGGCCATCCTTTGCCAGCTAACTTAGAGACACTTTAGTTTTCTAGGTTTGGTTTTATATGTCTAATAATGGTTTAACCTAGACTACTAAGTGTGAAATGTAAGAAAGGATCTCTCAAATCTGAAAGTACAGCAGGAGTTCATTGCTCCATAAAAATGCCCTGTTATTGTTGTCTGGCCTTAATCTTGTGTATTTGGAGGTAGACTTTGAAGAGGCTTGTTTGCAGTAATTAAGAGGCAAGTTCATGCCCAAGTGTGTTTTAACATTGCTTTGCATTTTTGCTCTTGCCCTTCCTCTGCTGTAACCTTCTCTGCTCCCTTTTTCTGTTTTTAGCTGCTCTGCCCTACATTGGCTCTTGCTTGCATCTCTTCTACCAAAGGACTTATTCCAATTGCTCCATCTACCCCTGTCTGTCCTTTACCACTTCCCATACTGTTCAGCAAGTCTGCTAATGCTTTTTCTTTCTTTGAAATAAGGAAGAATTAGAGCTGTAGTCTTGCATTTCAGTTCTACTGCTCTGGCCTGGTAACAGATCCCAGACTTGTCACTTCAGGGAGAATTCCACCTGTATTTCTAGCCTGGGCTGAAGTATGCAGAGAAGGGAATGACTGCTTGAGATCAGTTTTATCTCCAGTGAGTACATGCAAACAGGTGTTTACATGCCCTGAAATTGGCCAGATGTAGGTAAAACACAAGGCAGAAATAAAGGAAAAGGCACGTTTCTGAGAATGTAGCTGCTAATGTCCTATTAAGTATCAAAATACAGTATAACTTCTAATTTGAGAAGGATTTTTACTTTTCAGGAGGATTTGTTGAGCCTGATGCTAAAAGCTGCTATATATTGAGGGATGATAGAAAAGTATCTACTTCCTGGCTTATTTTATTCTTGGATATATTCCCAATATCTCTGATCAAATTGGTTGACCTGTCCTGGAAGTGCCTGAACAGCAGTGCTTGAATACCATGGTTTTCTGCCAGTGTTTTAATATAGGCCAAAATTGTTTTTGTAACTGAAGGTGGACTGTAAACTCTATCAGTTCTATTTAGTTGCTTTTTAATTGTTTCTGTTAAGAGTGTGATAACCTGTACTGAAAGGAGAGGAGTCCATCTCTGGGGCTCTTGTGTCAGCAGTCTGATTCTAGCCTTTTGCATGCAGATCAATTTGTAGGTTGTGCGTTTTATGTGCTTGTATGTATTTTGGGACATCATCCATAGTGATGGAGTTATCTCAGTAAAACTAAGTCTCTTACATTGCAAATGCTGCCTGTATTTCTTAGTTAATAAACGTAGCAGAATCTTGCTTTGCCTTTAATGCTGCCCAAAGTTTTCATGTAGTGTTTTAGTAGAGTAGGAAGAGGATGTGATGTGTGGGTTTCTACTTCCATGGAACCTGTGTTGATGGTTTCATGGAACCTTCCATATGCTGGGTCTTGCTCAATGTGCCCATTCTGATGGTAAGTTAAGGAAATATGAGTTACTTTGTGGAGAGGGGTTGGTGCCAACCAAGCATGAGGTTGTTTCCTGCCTGCGCCAGGTCCTCTGGGAGTTGGATTAATTGTCTTTATGGCCGTTCTTGGAGGTACTTAGTTATCTTCACCTGATGACAGAGTTTATAGATGTAGCCATGTAATAACTTCAGGAACTGAGAGAAGGAGCTTTTGCATTTAAAAACTTTTGCATTAAAATATTTTTGACAAGGACTTCTGAAAGATCTGGTTTTACAGGGTTACCTCTAGGTAATTCAAGTGAACAGTGTCTTAGTGTCTACAATTATATAATTTGTGAATCTGTATATATACTTTGTCCCCCCTGTTCAGGTCATCTGTGAGGGTGATAATCAGTGTTAGTCCCAGTATTAATGCCTGTGTGACTGGCCTCTGGCTGAACTTTGTGCCATTCACCACAACCTCTTGAACCCAGCAGTGCTGGCAGTTTTCAGTCCACCTCACTGTCCACTTATTCAGTTGGTAATTCATCAGACTGTCTATGAGTATGTGATGGTAGATGTTGTCAAAGGCCTTACTAATGTGGAGGTGAACAGCATCCACTCTCCCATCAAGGTTACAGTGTTGGTCAGGCATGACTTCCCCTTCATAAATCCACGCTGACTATTCCCAGTCACCCTGCCCTTCATTTGTACGGGAATGGCTTCGAAGTTTACTTGTTTCAACAGCTTCCTTCCACTCAGCACTGGTGAGGCCACATCTGGAGTGCAGTGTCCAGTTCTGAGCTTCCCAGTGTGAGAGAGGTGGAGTTACTGAAGAGACTCCTGTAGAGGGCCACCAAAATGGTTAAGGGACTTTCCTCATACGAAGAAAAGCTGAGAGAACTGAGACTGTTCAACCGAGAGAAAAGAAGCTCAGCAGGGTCTTCTCAGTGTGTGTAAAATACCCGATAAGGAGACTGCAGGGAAGGCAGAACCAGGCTTTTCTCAGGGCCCAGTGACAAGAGGTGACTGAAACAGAGGATGTTCCCTCTGAGCATCAGAAAACACTTTTTTAGTCAAACCCTGGCTGGTGATTGAGTCTCCATGGTTTGAACAAGTCAGTCTCCAGTGGTCCTTTTCAATGTGAGGGTTTTCTTTTAAAGTTTGTTTAAATGTTTATTTTCCCAACCCTTTTTCACTGAGGATAAGTCTTCCTTACACCAGGTCTCAAGGCCTAGGGTTCCTGAAGGCAGGTCTTATTATCGAAGAAAACATAGAATACCAAAGTCTTTTTTCTGTCTCCTTTGTCACCAGGTCCCCTGGCCCCATTCAACAGCAAGCTCACACCTTGCCTAGTCTTCCTTTAGCTCCTGATGCACCTGTAGAAGCCATTCTTACTGTGTTTTTGTACTTTATGTCCCTTGCCAGATTCGACTCCAAATGGGCTTTAGCTTTGCTGCATGCTCAGAGTGTCTTGATTTCTCCTGAATAACCTGGCCCTGCTTCCACCTGTTCTGTTTCTTTGTTTGAGTTATGTCAGGAGTATCTTGTCCATTCGTGCAGACCTCTGGCCGTCTTCACTTAACACCCTGCACATAGGAGCATTCCTGAGATCACTTCCTGAGGAAGTGATCATTTAGATTTTGCCTCTTAAGATGTTAAAAATGGTGGAGTAGTAGCAGAATAGCTTTCTTTCCATCCTTCAATTTTCAATTATGTACTCTTAGAAGAGGTGACAGTAGTAAACCACGAGAGCTTATTTTCTGAAACAACGAACAGATACCTGAATGAACAAATACCAAGTTATCTTCTTGCATCAAATCTCTGGTTCCAGGAAGCTATATAAGATTTGTTTGAGGATCTGATGTTACTTTTTTCCCCCTAAATACAACAGAATATGATTTATCATTTTGAAAACTATCATCCGAAGAGAAAAGTGTTTAGGCATATAGATGATTTTGTTATGTTTTCGATACCTGTATAGACGGCATTTCAGGATTTATGTCAAAATGCTTCTGTTTTACTGCTTTGATAGTCACCACACCTTTTTCTGCT